GCGACCCATATGACTGGCCATATGTATTGTATCCTTGGTAAGAAGCTTGTCGTTGTGGGACATTGGTGCTTGCATAAGCAGAAGGGTCGTAAGCCTGCGGTGTGTAGGAGCTGGCATTCGAAGCATAGCGCGAGGGGGGCTGAGGCTGGGGCTGGTTGCGGAATGGTAGAGCGTTGGTGGATGTCGACCGCGAGAAGCCTGAAGTTTGCGCAAAACTTTGGGGATTGTATGAGTATGTCGGCGTAGGGGGTACATCTTGGTACTGGTGCTGGTAGCCCGACAGCGCGTTGTTCGTGGAACCGTAGCCTGGCCGGGCCGCCGCATTGTTGTTCATGAAGAGCTCATCCTCTCCTGAGCCACCAAAGGCAGGAGATCGGTTGGCGGGTGGTTGAATATAAGCAGCGTCGTCTCCGCCGTTGAAGCTAGCTCGGCGTCCAATATCGTCGTAGGATGAGTGCGGCTGTTGTTGTTGTTGCTGCTGCTGCTGCTGCTGCTGTTGCTGGTACTCTTGGCCGCGGCCGGCGACCGGATACTGCACAGGTGGCACATGGCCATATCTTCGCTGGTCGTCACCGCGAAAAGACATGGCGGCAGGTGGCTGTAGATGGAGGTAGCTGTGACGAGGGAATCGGGAATGGTCGTGAGAATAAATGTGAGTGCCGCTTGGGCTTGGCGGTTCGGGCGTCTACCTCGTATAGGACGGCGAGGGTTGGTGGGCGTGGGCGGGTCGCATTGAGGGGTCGAGGACGTCGACGATGGATATAATAGAGAATTGCGGGTGCTGAAGATGACCGCCGTCACCGACAGAGTAAGACGTAAGGAAAAGAGCGACGGATTTGTTGTGCGCAAAAACAAATCGAGGCGGTCGGGTCGGCTCTGGTCTCGAGTCGAATGAGCTCAGCGGAGAAAATGGATCTTGGGTCGGAGATGGATGTGGATGGGACTGGACTGGACTGGATATGTGTGATGGGCGGACTCGAGAGCGGCGGGCGCGGAATTGGGATTGGATTGTCTGAGCGAGATAGAGAGAGAGGGAGAAGCGAAACTAGAGCGAAAGCCCCTCTTACTCAGACAGTGAGTGCCGGGACAGGACAGGACAGGACTGAACCGACAGTGTAGTCTGGTCTAGGCAAACAGGGTCCTGAGTCCTCCTCCTCCTCCACTTGAAGTATCTGTCTGTTTGTCGGGTCCTGTTAAATTTGGGCCTGAGCTAGCTTAGTAGCTAATAACCTAGGTAGAGAGAGAACAGTATGTAGAGCCTTTCCGTCCTGCAGTGTGAGACGGATGACTGGCAACTGGAGACTGTAGGTAGTCTAGAGGTGACGAGAAGAAGGAATAATAAAACAGTCTCGCCCTCAGCTGTCAGAATCTGGTTGGTGCAAAGGCAGGGTTTAGCGAGTGACAAGGGAAAGAATAAGACAAAGTGATTAAACCCAAGAGAAGGGGACTGTATCCGACGGAGAAGAACAGAACAGAGCAGAGCAGAAGAGACGGAGTATGCAGGCGTAGGTAGGTAGGTAGGTACGTGAGATTGGAATAACCTAAACTAAACTAATGAGACGTCACTGAAGATCAATCAGGCTCCGAAGCTTCCCCCATGTCATTGCTATCCAACCATCCAACACATCCCAACCATTCATGGACTATCCTCGGGAACGCCTTGAGGTGATGTTACAGTATAAGCCACAATCAACGACACAAAGAGTTAATCTACGTAGTCTCAACGGCCCAAGAAGCCGGCCTTGCCTTGTGATGCTGAATCGCAAATAGTCATTCAGTGCCTGCCCAGGGTACAAACAAACACATACTCCACATCTCAGTGCTTAATTATCGCCTGGGGAACCCTGGGGATCTTTTGAATTCGGTCTTTGGCCATTGAAAGTACCTTGTTGTTCGAATTTACCCATGAGACTTGATGGTGCGACCACATCATACATAGATGGATGGTCTAGGTCACAGGCTCGTGCTCCGGGTCATGACCTGGGGTTTTTGGCGTCAGTGGCCGATAATGTTTTACATCCCTGAAAATTACTGATGAGTACGGATTAAAAGTTAATTACAAGCAATCTTCTTGTTTGATCGCGGCGGTGCAAAATACAACATTTCAAGAGCCACCTCATGATGTATCGCGTTTTATGTGGGGGTTCACTTAGTTACTGGGCGGCCTCGCTGTCAGATTAGCGGGATCCAACTTAGTACTTTCACCGTACCCGACGTCACGGATGGCGCAATAATAGGTACCTACCTACCTACGGAGTAGTAAGGATATTGTCTCCCGGGCTCTTCGTATTTTGTTTGACAAGCAGCAACTCCCACCTCGGTACGGGAATGCCATTGGTCAAGGAATACGTACGTATCTCAATTTTAGGTCTGATATTCAACATTCAATACGGTCAGTTGTGAAGCAGCCTATTATGTACTAACTCCTTTGTTTGTACTCGCCCAAGGCCGTTGGAACTGAAGCTTTGTATGAATTATGCTTTGTCTATTGTTAAGTTTGATCTACCCGAGAGTCTCTAATAAAAACAGCAACGGCGGTTGGTGAACCCTTGACTCAATCTAGTAAACACATGTGAATGACTCTACCCCATGGTTATAGTAGGACCCCCACACCAAGCGCAATAATCCAAGACATTGCTCCCATCAACAAAACGATAGGGCTGATTTACGGTGACATTCCTATGATGAATGTCCTACTCATCTGACTGCATGTGCTAGGTTTCGGCATGTCGACTCGACGTGTTACGGCCAGGCCGAACGAAACATGTCAGCCGCCTAACGCCACAGCCCTACAACCTCCAATATCGCATTTTGTGTACGGAGTAAGGACCCTGAAAATTGGGCTGCTAATGAACTACCTCCCTACCTCGGAAATCCAGATAATCACCCCCAACTGAGCCAGCTTCATCTCGTTCAATCCACAGCACCCATGCTGAGTCTGCTTGGCATTCACAAACACATCTTCTTTCCACTTATAGACAGCGTTTTTGTTCAGGAAAACAGCAATGGCCAACAGTAATTGGGCACATCGTAAGAAACGTTAGAATTACCGAGTCTGCAGGTTGACTTGCCTAACACTTTACGCATGCCTACCTATAAGCAAGCCAAGCCCAAGCCGTGAACGTGGTAACACAACTAACTGTCAGGTCATAGGAGTTTGAAGTTGCTGGGCTGAATCCATCTCAAATTATAACATATGTTGTTGTAAAGCCCGAAAGGACCGATAACAAGATACTGCTGTGTTATTCCACGCAGGAAACCACCAAGTTTGTCCTTGTATTATACCATGGTCATTGCTCAGCCAACTTCAACTCCAAAGTCGGGATAGAATTACGGAGACGGGCGGCATCTGCCCCACTATTTACGGCACCGTTCGGACTACTGGGGTCACCTTGTTTTACTGCTACAATGAGGCTGTTGAATAGATGTTCAAGACATCTTCGGAATTTGAATTTGAGAAAGTGCTGTGAGCACACGTAATGATAATCTCTGTCTTCAAAAACTGGCAGAAAGTGTTTCGAAATGTAAGCTTAAGTCTCAGCATGCGGATCTGGCCTCTGAATAGTGGGGGTTTAGAGGAAGCGTGGGGTTTCACCTCTGACCTCCCCTAGCTCCCGCCTCTGAATCAACTGAATCAACCTCACAATCTGATTCACTACAACTCTTCGAAACCTACTCCAAACCCATGAATCGTTACAATGACAGGTGACACTCACCGCAAGATCTGTCAGCCCCTCCACCCCGCCATTCGTGACAGTCTAGATCCCCAATATGTCGCCTATCATGAGGCGCATCTGCAGTATATCGAAAGAGACGAGATCAGTAGCTGGGACGGCTCAATACGTACCAAGAAACATTCTCTTCCTCCTGGAGGAACAAAACCGATTCCTGTAGGGAGCATTGACGACCATGACGTTGCTAGATTCCGAGTGAGAGTTTACACACCAACAGGCCAATCTGATGACCGAGGCTGGCCTGTCCTCGTCTGGTTTCACGGTGGTGGCTGGGCAGTTGGAGGACTCAACAACGGCACCGATCTTTGCTGTTGGGCTTGTGAGAGTATGTGTTTCTCTGATTGTGTCTTATCGTACGATGCTTACACAAAGTTCAGGAGCGCGATGTATAGTCGTCAGTGTAGACTACGGGCTGGCCCCTGAAAACCCATTCCCTGCTGCTGTCGAGGATGCGATTGACGCCGTGAGATGGGTCGCATCTCGCCCAGCTGAGCTACAAAGGATAGACACCTCCCGTATTTCCATCAGCGGAACTTCAGCTGGTGCTAATCTGGCGATTGTCGCTGCATTATCTGCATCGAACCCAGAAGTCTCTTTACCGACAGCTCAGCCTTCACTCCCAAACACTGTTACACACCCTCCTATATCATTGGTCTTATTCATACCCGTTGTGGACAATACTGCCACAGCTGAAGGGATATGGAGGCCAAATGCCGAGACTGCACCTTGGCTTACACCTGCACGAATGGAGTATTATCGTAAGCTTTACTTTACTCATGATGATCATCGCTCCCAATGGGACGCAAGCCCTAACCTCGCCCCCGAGTCTCTCTTGAGAAAGCTTCCAAAGACGTGGATTGCTGTTGCAGAGATGGATATTCTCGCACCGGAGGCACTAGCTTTTGGAGAGCAGTTAAGGGGGTTAGGAGTTGACGTGGAGACTTTGCTAGTGAAAGGCGGGACACATTCTATTCTTTCGCTTCATGGTGTGATTGATAGAGGGTATAGGATGATAGAAGATGCAGTCAAACGCCTACAAGTGACTTTTGGCACGGGCTAACATCCGAATGCAGCTTGGATTACCTCTTAAACTGCTCGAAGACACATAGGGACTACCCATAGGATCCATATAATTCACTACCTACAATACGTCCATTCGACGTTTATGCCGCCCTCTCAATGTCTACAGGCTTCCCTATACATATAACTTAGGGATTGTTTCCAGCGCTCGTTCTGATACAACAACGTACACGCACCGGACCAAGTCTAAACTGCAACAGCTTCGCTCGTGGGCGTCTTTCGGTCTGAATCCTCTACAGACCCTTCATTCATCATGGCATTGCTTTTGCGGTTGCGGAATCCCCAAATGCCCTTGAGGCCACCATCATCCATCTCCAAGAGCTCTTTCATACACAAGGCGGGATGAAAGATATTGAGAACGGCCACAGCAACAACAATCAAGATTCCCTCAAACCCAACAAACATATACTGATGGCCCATGAGGGGCCCTTTCCAGCCTTCAGATAATTCCGCAACTCGAAACGCACTTCTCCAAAGAATGCAAAATGCAGAGAGTGATAGAGCACATAGAAAAGCTTTGAACCGTCGAGAATTTCGGACTTTGACGATTTCGGGGCGCTGGTCAAAGGCTGCTTCACCGAGGGTACGTTGACGATGAATAGTCCGAATGCCAAAGTCGACTGAGCAAGCAATAAATGCGAGAATAGTCGCAACTTGAAAGGCGAGTCCTGCTATCATGATGTTTGTGCCTAGGTCTGCGCTTTTGTACTGTTGAGAAGCAACCGAAGCCATACCACCCCCAAGGGCTTGAAGGACTAGAGAAACAACATCGCAAGGCATGAACTAAAGAGTCAGTGTATTAGGATACAAGTTCGAGTAATATCCACAAAGGCAATGACTTACAAATCTAGTATAGTATTCGGGAGGTAAACGTGAGTTCTCTGGTCCAAACGCTGACACAATCCTGCGTAGGCAAAGATAGATACCCGCAGCCATAAAGGCTGGACCCATAGTCAAGCAACAAATCTGAGTAAGAAAGGCATTCATATCGAAGCGATTGTACCAACTCGCGATGCGTCCACTGTATCCAATGATCTCGCACAAAAGACTTAGGATCATGGCGACATTGAAAGCTGTGCCTCTGCGAGTGAAAGCCCAAGTGACGATGAAGCCGATCAATGAAGATGTGAATATCGCAAGAAATGCAGCATTTGGTGCAAGGTCGATGCGATAGAGATAGTAGCCCGTATCATCGACACACGCTCCAGCTTCGGGATTTTGAAGACAAAAGAAGGGCATGTCAGGAGCTTCTGTCCCGTTAAGGGCAGCGGGCGAGGTTGGCTGCATAATGAGGTAGTGAGAGCAGGTTGAATATGAGCAAGTGTACCCAGAGTTTGAAGGACAAGAATGAAGAGACGAGTAGCCCTATTTATATATAAATGTTCGTTATGCAACACTCCCGGACCTCAACTCCAATGTCCAGTCTGCCTATATACAAACAACCTTGAAAGATATACTGTATAAGAAAGAAACCAGGGTAAAGGCTAGAGAAGTAGGTGCAGGATCCAAGTGTCATATCGGAGTTCATCTCCGTCGTATTTCGTGTTTCGCGAAGTTTGCGGTTAGTCTCTGACATATTCTATCAGCCCGTCGGCCCTTGGTGGCCGAAAAACAACATGCATAGCCATTTTGATTGTGGATGTATTGAAAGTAGTCCTATCAAGAAATAGTATCAAATGCTTCATTTCAGCCTCAATAATACAGTTGAAGGATCAAAGGAGCCTTGCATATGGCCCACTCACACTTCCTCGCACCATCATGCTGTTTTGACTGCCTATCAGATGAGAGTCACACTCTCATTGCTGTGCCTCTTTGGAGCGGAAAGTGATCAGTGTAGCACAGCAGAGATCTCCAGCTCGTCTTTTGTTGCATCCTATCGCGATTCCTGGCGACGTGACATATGCAAGTGTGCATTATATATATAGCGAAAAGCTGGGCTCTCTCAAACCCAACATATTGTAACGTGCGTGTACTGCTCGAGATGTATCGCTGCCCCTCCTATAACAGATAAAAAGAATAAGCATTATTTCTGAATCGTCGATCGAAGACATGACTGAATCCAACTCTTCCTCCCTTGCGCTTCCACTTAGCCACCTACTTCTTTTTCTTTTCTGCAGAGCTGTCCCTTCTAGGACTCTCCTCCACGTTGGTTCCGCTGGCGCCGCTCTTCGTCACAATGCCACCAGCAGCCTTACTCGCACCGACACTGATACCGCGACCCTCTCGCATATCTAGGCTGATATTGCTCCCGACACTCCCGCTGCGCTTGACACCAGCTTTTACCCTGGCCGCCACTGGGGAATCCAATCCACTTTCAGGTGAGTCTCTTCCCGCAGCACTCTTAAAAATCTCAGGGGTGGCTGGTCGGTCGCCTGCAGGTATCTCACCCGAGTATTTCACTCTGTGTCTTGTCGTGTTCTTCGGAGAAGGAATTCCAGACGCTTGCTCTCGTGCTCGGTGTGGCTGAGGCTGGGGCGTAAGTTGGGCACCATTGGCTCCCTCGATACTTGGTGTAAGTGTCGAAGACTCGCTCTCACTGCCATGATGAGCATGCCCAAACGCATACCCTGACCCTAGAAGACTCTCCTGCCGACTGACATAGTAACGATCATATTCCTCCTTTGTATGTTCGGCATCAGTGAAGCTGTCAAGCGCATCAAACACGTGCTGGAAAACTTGTGTATCGACATCCCGAGCCCAGAGAAAGTCAAGATGTTCATAGTGAGGAATCTCGGTTGCCACAGTTTGAGGGGGTAGTTCCTTGAGCATAACCTTGATATCAACCAGGGAATCGCTGCCACCGTAAACCAGAACGATTGGTGTTTTGATGTTTCGAGTCGGGTACTTGGCAACCTTGGAGTATTTGCTGCTTGAAGTGACACTGATTGGCTGGTGAACGTCATCGTCATACATTTGGAAGGATTTGTTTCGAATGATCTGGAACCAGTGAACCACACTCTTGGTGCTCGTAAAAGAGTACAAATGTGGGTAGGCAGCCAATTTCTGGCTCGCGGAGATATTGAAGGTTTGCCAATTGAACAAGAATGAAAGCCCCATGTCGATGAGCTTGCTGAAGATGGGCGGGTACAAGATGGTCTCCCACATAGTAGCGGAACTGAGAATGGAACGACGACCGAACAAGAGGAACAGAACAGAAGGCGATGCCGTTACGAGCGCGTCGACAATTCCACTAGATAAGCCGGCAGGCGCCATAGCAGGCGCGAGAGCGATGAAGACATTGATCTGGTTGTTGAGCTTGGGATGGATGGCTAAGCTGGCGAAAGCCTGAGCTGTACCTTGCGAAAAGCCGATGTACGAGAGACTCTCCTGCTGGGTTGTATCAAGGATATAACTGATGCTATCCGGAATGTCGTGGAAGGCAAACTCGTCAATGGAAAAGTCCCAGAAGGCATTGGAGGTTGGCGACTGGTTGATTGACTTTTTGGAGTACTTGTTACCCCGATTATTTCCAAACTGTACAGGTGTTAGTGAATAGGTAGGCGTGGGCTGCGTAATAATCAAGGCAAACTTGCCCAGACGTCGTAACCTCTCTCAACCAGCTCGAATGGTAGACATCTCTGCTCATCCGTGAGAGCAACCCAAACCTCTGAATTCATAAGAAGGCCATGGTGCATGTAGATGACCTTCTTTTTCAGACTCGTGGGGCCGTAGTTGACTTTCTGTCCTTCTTCGCCCTTTCGCCACTGCAGACGATGAAGACCTAAAAGATATCCATCCTTGGTCTGAACGATATGTTCCTCTGCTTCGTAGCCCCAAATGCGACACAGCTCAACAAAGTCTGGCGCGTCTCGTACCTTGGTGGATATCGCTGTACGATGTTAGTCCGAGTCTAGTAGAAACAGCCAAAAAGCCAACTTTTTCGTTTACTCTCCGCTCGTCGCCTCGCAGGCGCAGAAAACCTATTGAAGAGTCGTCTTGAAGCTCTATAGAAAAGCGTAACAAGAAATGGGGCTGCGATGTTGTTGTTAGTATGACCCCTACACCGCTTGGAAAGGGTCTGCGACTCACGCAAAGCCAAAGTCAAGACTCGAATGATTGCCTCGAGACCGACGAGAATAAATGATCCCACGAGAGCGAGATATTCGTGACTATTCGTATTAGAGGTTAATAAAGTCGGCGCATAGTAGTAGAGCAGAGATGAGAATGTGGATGAGCGCCACGCAGATCTTCTAGGCCAAGACAAAGACGAATAGGGGAGATACTTACGGGCGAAGCCTCCCGATGAAAGGAATAGCCATCGCGACAATCTTTGTCTGAGGATTGTCGCGATACAAGCTTATCCCAGCTTAAGGTTTTTGTTGTTGTAGGGACAAGGATCAATGAGCAAAGTAGCTAGCAAAAGACGTTGATAAGGTAGTTCCAAGGTCTTGTCCAGATGGAGGTGATGTCAGTATTCAATGAATCACATGCAATTGGGGATAGTGATAGAGTTAGTGCCTGGTCTACTGAGCTACAGCGAGGTCGCACTAAAGTAGCTAGCGCACCTAACGAATCATGACCTCAGAACCTTAGGCGAGTCAACTACAGCCCAAGTAACCCCGAGTCGAAAGAAACTCGGTGAAGAAACGAGAAAAATGGAGATTCCATCAGGCCTCAAGATGCCGAAAGAACCCAATGGTCGACAAGATATCCCATATTTTCTTCCATGAGACCCATATGAAACAGTCATTACCACAAGCGAGCCACAGAAGACACTGCCACATGGCATACGCCAATGTCAGGGTCGCAGGAAGAGGATTGGTTCTCTTATAGTGGGTCATCGACGATAAGACATACAGATAGATTGAGTGGCTAGAGTGGGCGAGAAGTGAATAAGTGAGTGGCAGCAGTTAATGAAAGTCGATGAGGATATCTCCAATTACTACTTCCATCGCAATTGTAAACTCAACTACTATAGTACCGTAGAGCCCAGTCCTTCCCTTGCTTCGCTTCCCTTTCCCTGTCCTGTCCAGGCCATTATTTCACGACTCTCCCTCACTTTCAAATCGCTCCAAGCTGCTCCAAAATATTTCATGCCATGCGAAGCAAGATTATGCCATGCTAAACATCGCTCATCCTTCCAGAGTACAAGCTACGATATATCGTCTTTCTCTTTTCCCATCTCGTCATCTTATCTTGTTCCATCCTACATCCTGCTGATCATGCCCCGTCTCCGTATCTACTGCTCCTATATTTCAATCATCTTATCGACGCCATTGGAGTCATGGTTTTGCTCTGGTTCAGCTGGCATCAAGGCCCATCATGTGCTGACTTGACGATTTATATAGCCAGGAGCACTACAACCAAATCCGGTGAGCGGTTCGAAGTGCGGCCCAAAAGCTTGCGTCTTCCCAAAGTATAGGGATACCACAAAGAAGCCGAAAATCGTCAATACCCTTGCGAGTATCTCGCGCCCAAGGACAGTCGACGTCGTAGTAACCGGGCGCCGCCAAGTAATACAAGAAGAAGAAAAAAATCTTTCCAGGAAAAAGAAACGCTCCCCCAATGGGTCCGGGATTTATTTATTGTTATGAACCGAGCAGCTCTGACTTGCGGTTACTCTTCCAAAAGTCGATTGCCTCAACAACGTCGTCTCCCTTATCGTCCTCGTGTGCAAATAGAATCTGACATCATGTTAGCATCCTGGAAAGAAATAGCCTTCTGTGTGATAAAACTTACCTCATGTGTACTACTATGAAGCATGCGAATGTTCTTACGAGGGACGATGTGCACAGCGCCGTTCTCCATGTTCCGGAGCTCAATGAAGTTTGGCTCGAAAGCAAGGATCCAGGGGTAGCTGAGTGCGAAGCTCTGTGGTGTACCCTCCCAGTCAATTCGCCACTCTGGCCGGGCCCTCCAGCCGTTGCGGTTAACAAAGAAGGAGAATTCCGAATAGTTAAGCAAGAACTCTCCGTTAAGTCGTTCAATGTGGATTGGCCTAACTCCTTCTTTGCGAGCCACAAAGTCAAGTGACGTATCAGCCTGGTCGAGCAATGATTGTGTTTCGAGGGTTTCGAGAGAAACGACCTCGAAACCTCGAGCGCAGGCGACGCAGAGCTTGGACTTGAGGAAGTGAACGGACGAAGATTCGGTGGGAATGTAGAACTCCTTGAATGGCTTGAGCTCATCATGACCGCCGCTCATGAATTTCCCGATACCCTTCTGCTTCTTGGCCTTGGTCATGGCATCATTAGGCTCAAAGACCTTGATCGTGGTAGATAGGGCAGATGACTTGACGCAGCACACCAGATGTCTGCCCAAGCAGATGCCCGTCTTGAAGAAACTGCAATGGTTCTGGATCTTTTTAGGCCTTCTGGACAATGCGGGCTCATCAGGGTTGAGGGCAGAAACTGGGTAAGACTGGAGTGTTTTGTTAGACAAAACCAAGAGTAGTTGGTACTCTTCCAGAATATCAATCTGAGTAACGCTTGCAGTCTCCAATACCCTACGAGGCACTTGATCCTTCACCTTGCGGTCCGACAGGTAAACACCATTGTCAGTACCGTACAAGAGTTTACGGCCACCATCTGTCATGATATTAGCGAACGGACCGGAAAGGGCAGAAAAGACTTACCAAATGGCGTGACACAGTTAACACGGTTGGTACCGGCAAAGAACTTGCTTGAGATGACGGTTGTGTTGAAGAAGTCGGCACGGGATCTAAGACGTTCCTGTGCAGTATGGATAAACTCAAGCCACTTTTGACGAGCAGCTTGATTAGACGCATAAAGCGTCAGCTCGTAGCCTGCTTTACCCAGATGGCGGAAGGTGATCGGCCAGCCTTCCTTTCTCGCTGGGTCGTTGGCGTTGTTCCGGATTGAAGGAATCAGGCTCGACGAGGTACGCTTCATGTTGCCGTCCTTGGGAATCACTTCGTCCATTTCCCTGATTGCGAGGAGCTCCAGAGGAATGGGTCGTCGGTATGCCTTGATCTCCTCAGTTTTGCCAGTCTGCTTGATGCGGACAAGAAGGACGGCGTGGTCAAAGAGGAAGGCTGTGATTTCTGCAGGATCCGTGGGCGACTTCTTGAACTGGCATTTGAAGACCATTTCACGACCCTCCTCTGTGAGTCGAAGATCAACCCTCTCATTAGGTCTGAAACGAAGCTGCTCATGAAGCCTTCTGAGATTAAATCGGTTCTCAGCCTTTCCAGACTCTGCGTTGACTCTGCCAAGAATATCTCGAATCATAACCAGAACCTTGGGAATGTCCTCCTTATCAGGGTTGCCATCTTCCGTGTATTTCAAGACGTTCTCCAAAAGTAGGGGGTATCGTGCCAGACGGGTCGTAGGCTTGGTCAGATAACCATTCAACTCCAGTTTCCTAGACTCCTTGCGCCTTTCAATCTCGTCTACGAATTTGCCGAAGTAGGGGTTGACTGATCTCTCGTTCTCGAATTCAAACTTACCTTCCAACTGCTTCGAACCGTACAGAATGAAGGGCTCGAACTGGGGCACATACTCAAGGAAAATGTCACCGATATTATGGACGATAGGTTCCTTTTGTTGTCGAGTCGTGAGTCCAGACGCAAACCGGGAGCTGACAGTATGAATACTGGGGTGGTCGATAATGTTGCTGAAAATGGTCTTGACAACCTTTTCGCGACGCTGAACAGGAACTGGAGAAGCCTTTGATCGTAAAGGCAGAATCCAAAAGTCTCGTAAATATTCCAAATCCTTAACGAAATCTCGCTCAGTATAACAGATCTCTGAAATAACTTCCTGCCTCTTCTTCTCCCGCTCATCGACCTTCTCAGCAACTTCCTTGGGAACGGAGTTAATCCAGAGTTTTTGTTCGTCTGTCTGATCAGCTTCGTCATCGACGGCATTGACAGCATCCTCCTTTCGTAATCCAGGGTTGATCTTAAGATTCAGTCTCGAAACCTGCTCCAATCGTCGAGGGCAGGCAATTGAATAACAAAGTTGATCCCTGGTACAGGTTGGGGAATAGCATTCGGAAAGCAGGACAAAGACACCATTGACTGCGGGCTTATCTTCTGGCTCATCCATCAATGTCTCCCTGAACTGGTACATTTCCGATTGCGAGTCTCGTAAACGGTGTTCGTAAGTGACATCGTGGAAAAACTTCTGGGCATCCAGAGCTCGGCCAAGAAGAAGGGCAAGGTTGCGATCAGTAGTCCTAATAATATATGACAAGACATCGACAGCCTCAGAACCGCTGAAAGCATTCTTGTATGTCAGTTCGTTCTTGGTCCGGTCACCAACAATAATCTTGCGACGGAAGCACTCCCCGACTCTAGACAGTAGGGCTGGATATACGAGGGGTGGTCGAATCTTAGTGGCAGTCGGTGGGCGCTCGCTCTCGATAGACTTGCTTCTGGTTGGTCGCTGAACCAAAGTAGAAGCATCAGACTCGGAAGGGGTGATGGTTGGTGCCACGGTAGAGGCCATCGACATTGTCCTACTATGATCGCCAGCACCATTGGACGAAACCATGCTAGAGGTTCGGGTCTGTGCTCCCGGAGCGTGAGGCATCGAATTAGGATAACCGTTGGTGGCCGGCAGCTCGGTAGGTGCTCGTCGGTTAGGGATGACTCGACCGCTCATGGTCTGATGGGCGTCCATGCTCTGGGGTTGGTAATTGCCAGTCAGCGACATGGTGCGATCTTCATGACGTTCCGGTACAATTCGCCCTTGAGCGGTCGTCCTCGCCGAGTTCTGCTGCGCGTACGGGGCTTGTCGAAGGTGGTTTGCTGGTGCTTGCTGATAGGCACTAGGAGGAGGGTGATACATTGGCTGGCGAGGAGCAGAAGCGAGTGACTGCGAGCGATAAGGGTCATTGTTCATTGCAGGGGCCGGTCCTCCTTGATAGAATCGCTGGGCGGGAGTCCTTGCACCAGGAGCTTGCGGAGGCGGCGGACCCCTTTGCTCCATCCTAGGAGGTGGAGGTCCTCCAGGGCCAGGATACGGACGTCGTTGTTGATGATGTTGCTGCTGCTGCATATAGTGAGGTGGCATTTGACCACCCGATGCTGAGCGCTGACTTGGATAGTACCCATTCCCCATCATGCTATTGCTATCCATTGTCCGAGTCCTGCCAGCTGCTGGGTCCCCGTAGTGTCCTGGGGGAGCACGAGGCGGTGGCTGCCGTTGCATACCAGAGGACATTGAAGACATAGTCTGAGTGCGACCGGGGTCCGTCATGTTTTGAGGCATCGAAGAGGACGAAGTCATCGTTTGGGATCGGCCAGGAGGCGGAGCCGCGCCGAAGATGTTGGAGAATGCAGCATCTCGTTGACCGTAATTGTTGTCGTCGCCGTAGCCCCTCTGCGGCGGTCTTTGAGGAGCTCCTCGAGGATCGTAACCGTAGTTCGACATGATAAGGGAAACTTGATCGAGAGCATGTCAGGGGACTTTCCGAGAAAGGGGTGATACCTGGGGATGGGAATTGCATTACCGGTAGGGTTTTGAGCGCCAAAGGCTAAAAGCTCGTTATCTGGCGTATCAACAGCCGACTTCGACGGATGCGCCGCCGCCAGTCGACGCCGATACTGTGCGTCCCCTTAAGCTTAAGATAAGTGTTGCGTGAGCGATAACCGTCCGTTATATACTGGCGCTGCGAATACTCTCGCAGGTAGCGCTCGTCGTTACGGTGGGAGAGATGATGAGGGATCGGGGTGTAAATTCTACCCAAGCAAAGTGTCGTGTCGGAATTTGCAAGTTTGGGCTCGAGGGGGACCGTCGGACAAGGCGGCCGGTTGAGCAAAATGGCAAACCTCTAGCCTTGGGGCCGAAGCTCGTCGACCGATCGAGGATGTGAAGGGACGACGATAGGGAATGTGATTGCAGACAATGGGCGGTCGCCGTCTCGAGAGGGTTTTTTCTCGGGGGAGCGGCCCTCTGGTGATGGAGTTTGGAGGGAGTTGCAGTTGCAGGTTCACGATCCAGACCAGGCACCCGACTCGTCGCAGGTAAAGAGGTAAAGGCAATCCAAGCCAATGGAATCCACGTCCAGGTACTGAATGGAACAGAACAGGACAGGGAGTCAACTGTAGGAGCCAACGACGGACACGCCAGTGCTAGATCCACCACAGTCCACCTGTCTGATGGCGGCCTCTGCGCTCTTTGGGGGTCGAGATGAATGTGTTGACGGGGGGCCGGCAATGTGGGCGCGCCGTAGTGGATGGGCTATGGGCAGTTAAATTATTTAGTACAAGTTCAGGGGATGAATATACTGGGGTATAAAGTAGCAGTGTAAGAGCATGGATCTTTGGCGTTGCGCCGTGGATACGAAAAAGAGAAGTGGACAAGTTAAGTTAGGTAGTTATTCAGGAGCAGGTTAAAATAGTGATTTATCTTTAGTCGGTACTAGAGTCGGTTCCTTGTTTCAAGGCGTCAACTCGAGCTGTTACAGTGAAGTTGAGCCTCTTTGTTTGTGTATCGTAGTCCGACCTGAGGTTGGTCGCCTAACTGTAGGTACTGGTACCTTAGTGTTGACGCTCCCGTCCAGTCCGACACCTGGAACAGATGCTGCTACAGCTATTGTTACTGCTGCCTCGTTCATGTAGCAAACACATGTCATATCTCCTCTGGCGTCGCTCAATTGTACCCGTGTATGTACTCGTTTAGTTACTCGTTACACAGGATCTTTGTTCGCAATGGACCCTTTGTGGTGAGTCGAATTCAATTCAAAGGTTAATTGATCCAGTGGTTGCGTTGCCACACCTTAGACGGGAGTTACGGCAATTAAACCTCCTGTTGAACTGGAGGGACCCAAGGGGCACGCTAGTGGCCGTTGATTCTTACTTCTAACATTAACCTGCATCCTTTGATTATGCAGCGGGTGTTTGCTCATTGCTCCCTGCGTGCCTGGGTACCTATCTATTGTTTGTTTGTTGTTTGTTACGGCTGAACTCGGGCAATCTTACTGACGAGAGTTGCCGAGAAGAATATTAGCAGATAGGCATCTCCATGCTGCCCTTGGTTCTGATTGCATCCCGTCCAGTGTTTCTGGGACTGGAGCTGTGGAATCAAATGCCGCCAAAGACCAGGTATTGCCGGCTGTCTCGGCCCCTTCAGCCTTGGTCAATGATACATACAGGGCAAAGTTCACTAATACCATAGCAGCTTCGAAGGGATACCTAATCTCGTCTTTAGGTTCAAGGAGAACAATCATAGCAGCCAACCGAGACAAAGAAAAAGAATCCCGGAAACCGCCGTTCACATCGGCTGCCTCAAGTAAAGTCGAGATATCACTTGGCAGAAGCCTGATATTTCCCATCATTCACAGGTACTCACTCTAATTAAAATATGGCAACCTTATTTATATGTAAACACCAGACCAGTCAAAACCAGGTAGAGCTAGGTATATAGGCAAAAATAGAAAGAATTTTTATAATCTCTATCATGTAACCATATATGTCTTTCTTAATAATGGCTACAGGCTGTTCTTCTTGTCCTACTTCTCGAGTCCCGAATTCTTAAAGGCCCTACTTGATAGCTAGTCACATCACGTGACCCATATCGAAGCCACTCGCTCGTCATTGGTCAAATCAACCCGTTCCAATGTGGCTTTCCACCTCAGCTTCCAACTCCTCTGGTAGCCTTGGCCAGTAGCAGGCTACATCATCATCAAGCTATAACGTCAACTCTTCACGTCGCCCTTGACACTAGAGCTCGCCGACGGCCTCATATCCTCACCATGGCAGAATCAGAGCTCGCCCCCAAGTTTGCCCCCTTTATTGGGATGGTGAGTATTCCCGTGCTGGTCTTTCTGTTGGTCTGAAACCAGGGGTGGACGCGAATGCTGATGCTGCGAGTTTGTAGGCCGGAATTGCAGCTGCAATGGTCTTCGGATGTACGATACTTCCTCCCTCTTTACGCGATACGATATGACCCAGATCGAATACTGAACGACTTCGATAGGTATTGGTGCTGCTTACGGCACAGCCAAGTCTGGCATCGGCATTGCTGGTGTCGGTACATTTCGACCAGACCTTATCATGAAGGTACAACTGTCCCCTGGCCGGATCAAGGCCATCGCTGACGCCTTTTGCAGTGCCTTATCCCCGTCGTCATGTCCGGTATTATTGCCGTTTACTCGCTTGTCATCTCCGTCCTCATCGCTGAGGATCTCGACCCAGGCAAGAACTACAGCCTGTTTTCGTACGTCGACGCGAAGTCTCATCAACGAAAACGAACACTAACAGTATTAGTGGTTTTCTGCATCTCGGATGTGGTATTGCAGTCGGCATGACTGGCCTTGCCGCCGGTTACTGCATCGGAGTTGTCGGCGACACTGGCGTTCGTGCTTATATGGAGCAGTCTAGGATCTTTGTTGGCATGGTCCTGATTCTTATCTTCGGCGAAGTTCTTGGTCTTTATGGGTACGTCATTGATGAACTCTCAGTGTGTTTCGGTTATGCTAATCATCCTGTAGACTCATCGTTGCTCTTCTCCTGAACAGCAAGAGCAAGGGCTAAACAAGTCCTTTTCAATCGACAATCACACACCTATTCTGTCGGCTTTCCATTGAATGGTCGACTTGTACGTCGGGGAGGTTTTGAGCTGCCATCGGGTTACGGAGGCATACCATCATGTGTACATCGGGCATGGCGTTATTGGACGTGTAACATATCATTTGCAAACAGGTAGAGAAATGGTGGACAAGTTGACCGTATCTAGCTTCGAGTATAATCACAAAGTTTATGCTGACACGATGTCTCCAACATGTTGACACTATACGTCTCAAGATAGTTTCAATGTTTCATTTCATTTGAGGGGTAAGCTACCTAATACCAGCCCAGGTTCACCAAGCCCTATGCGACCCTATGTTCGAGAACGAGCGACAGAAGAGAAGAATATGCTCACGACGACCGTTTCATGCCATCGATCGGAGTGCAGTTGACAATTTGAGAACCCCCAACTCGCATGCCATGCCTTATCCCGACAACCCAATCTAGATCATCAAAACGCCATGAGAATGCGACAATTTCGTTTCGGCCAACGTAACAGACATGACAATAGCGACCCAGCGCAACAGAGATGCAAAGAAAATATAAAAATGCAGATATCAAAGGAAAATCATAGCAAGCGTCGTCCTCCAATACGGCGGAGGAGCTTCTTTCGGCTCCCAGCCTCCACCTCACGCCTGTATGGGTTTGTCGGAGTCCAGTTCCGCTGTCGGTCATCCGAGTCTCTCATTCGAGCTAATTCAGCGTTAACAGCTGCGACACAACACTTGACAAGCTTTTATTTCTTTTTTTAACTTACCTAAGAACCAGTCCCATTGGCGATCCTCTCGCAGAAGAATATCATCCCCTGACTCTCGTGAAAGTCGCTCTGTGCGAGCACGGGCGGCAGCAACCTCGCCAACCAGATAGGGATCTTCTAACGGTCTGGTTATGTACCGCTCTTGTTCTTGCTCGCTAACATCGGTCATGACTCGACGCAGGCTGTCTACGGGATCTCGCTGAGCAGTCAGTCGCCGGTTCGCGACATTCTGGTAGTGTCGGGCGTTGGGGTTGCTAGAGACGGAGGACCATGTCGCGATACGAAAATTGTTCAGGTTCGGTTGGGATCGCAGAGGAAGAGCAGGTACTGGAGGCAATCCGATAGTCTGCTGGCGTGGAGTTGAGGTACCGCTCCCTTGGGGAACTAAGGAGGACCTCGCAACCGTGTGAGACCGAGCTGGAGGGGTGTATGATGGCAGAGTCTCGGGGTATGGATTTGTTGAGTGGTATGAGGGAGCTTCCGATACTGAGGCAATGCACAGGTCAGTAAGGCTGGTCTCGTGCCAGGTAGTGAAGCTCTAGCATCGAGCTCCAGTCTGGTGTATAAGTAGAGCCGATATCCCAGCGGGATACAAAGAATCGCGACTACTTTTGCCTACTCACCATAAGAAGGAGCAGCAGAGCGAATAGAAGCTGTCTCGAAGTCGTCGTTACTATAACGTGGAGTTGCGAGAGCGCCCGTCATGATGGCAGATTTCGGTGGAGGAAGCACAGTTGAGAGCGAAGCGGAAGAGGGCTAGCACACGACAGTTCGAGCATCCGTCCAAGAGAATTATTGGGGATACTGCGGTTAAGTAGCGATACGGGACAATAACAGGATCACACGGCAGGCGGCTGGGATGGTTGAACGGTGCGTGGAGAGTCAGAAAGCAAGATAAGTGAGACCTGTGAAAGTGTGTGGGAGCCAGAATAATGGCCTTTTTGACCGGTGTTTAAGACGCCAAGCTAGGTAAGACAGGGAGGGTCAGGATGCCCAGGAGTTTGATGCACAGCCGCGGATAAACATGCATGGAGTTTCCAGGTATGCAGGAGAGGATGGTGGGAAGCAAGCAAGCGAGCGAGGTGAAGAGCCCAGTTCGGAGGAGTACAGAGTACAGCAAATCTATTGGCGACCGGAGCACTTCGGAGAAGTACCAGGTTCAACCCGAGCCAAGGTCTAGGCTGGACAGCCGTATCGCATCGTGGCGTGGATTTCTCTGGCGTGGAGGTTGCAAGGGGGACTGAGATGCGGGGACACGTGAGAAAAGACACGACGATGATGCTGTGGAGGACCATCGAAAGCACCATGACGCGTTCTGTTCAATGCAAGTCTTGAACAAAAGTCTCTCGCTTCTGGGCACTGTTAAGAAAGTTTGTTGATCCCGCCCAGTGTATATCCGTGTCACAAGCTCTCCTGCATACGCTCTGTACAACCGCCACAACTCCAACAATTGTGAATGCAGGGTGCACAAGAGGATCTAAAGGCTGCACAGTGACATCCCTAATTAGGAACAACCGTCAGCAAGCTCCCCTGAAGACACGTTCGGGCGTTTTCCTTAGTTGGCATAACGAGCTTCCATGGATGCTTCGACACGATACGGTGATAGCGGGGTATCACGGACAGTTTTCCGGCGAGGCCTCGGAGGGCATTTACCCACTGTGAATGGCGGGGTTGTGTATGCTGTGGATCATGATCGGGCTATGTGTGCAGGGGGAAGAGTCTCTGGGGCGGGGAGAGAGAGGCCTAGAAGTCCAAAAGTCCAGATGGCCAATGGATAAGACGGCTGGCGGGTGTCGTCTTGGCTGTGAGAAGTTCCCTGGCAGAAGCAGAAGAAGCAGCGTAACTGACGGAAGCCAATGTTGCACAACGACTGCGTCGACGGTATCTCAATCCGGTTTTGTTCAAGACGGCGGTCGACCTTGCGCCAAGTGGTGGAGCTGAATGATGTATTTGACGTCGAGCTTGCATTTCCAGGACCAAGTTTGTTTTAATTTCCGTTTCGTTTCGCCGTGTCCTGTCCTGTCCTGTCCTGTCCTGTCGCAAGAATGTTGGCGCAGCTTCCATTATTTCCTTACAGTAAGGTTGCCGATCTTCCTAACCGCTGTGAACCGCGTGGTCGGGCCGGCCTATGATGCCAGACCTGGCTATTTTTTTGGGATTCTCAAAGAACGCTATGTGACGCCCAAGTCCATTTATCCTTGCTGGAGCTCAACACCCACCTCTTCTTCCCAGCTTCGAATAGGTTTAGCTTGGCGTCCTTTCTCCACATTCATCGAAGTCTGAAGGCGCTCAAGACCTCAGCGAAGTGGTGTCCTGCTCATCTTTGCTTCGAGCCATTTGATAGATGCTATAAGCCAACCTCATGGTGTGAAGAGTTGCTGATCAAAAGCGGGGGGCTTGCTTGATCACCAGATATAGAATTCTTAACTGGTGACTTTTGGCGCATCTCAGATGCAGGAACAGTCCGTGGGGCATCAAAGGCCACTTTCAGATCGCATCTTATCAGTAGGTATAGGCAGGTTGTTATGTATGTATTGTCCACACCAGCAATATGAGGCACTATTGGATATTCCCCGCTTTCTCTCATGGGAAAGGAGGAATCTACCTGCTTCTAAGCGGCTGGTCCGGCCCCATTTCACCGAGGTGTCGAGGCCCTCGGTTGAATTCAGTTAGATAGTTGCGACTCATACTTGTACTTCAGGGGAAGCGGCACGGTTCGCACGGAAGTGTTGAGCGGGGAGGATTAAATCGCGACCGTTGTTCCAAAATTCCAAGGTACATCTTGTTCAACTTGTCACACAAGTATGCAGGTTGCGCTCTGATAGTGATAGACGGCGGTGAGTGTCTGCTGACGTGCATCGAGGTGCATGACAACCTAGTTTGGTTTGGTAGTTGGAACAGAAAGGAAACTTTGGGAAATGATAGATGTAGAATCTTTTCGTTCTTCGAGGTTTGTCAATCGCGTCAACACCATGTTGCAACAAATAGAATAGACTTGCCCATCATGAAGTGCTTTTCTGTAACAATATATTATATTATGCCAGAACTGTCATATGTTACGATTCAAACACATATCTTGGTGAGCTCCATTTTCTCTCCTCCCAAGGCCCAGATTTTGGGCGAGAGCGTAGGGCTACATTGGATGGTTGGACCCTTGAATCCGAAAGGGTGAGTAGTGTCCTATTCGCAGATGTGACCTCCCTTTCTGAGAGGGTTGCCGGGAAAGACCGTATCAAAACAATGCTTTCTTTGTATTTGCTGATTTGTTGATGGTGTTGCGTGACTGCTGTGGCACGAGATGAACTTCGACAGTTGATGTCTCTCTCGCGCGATGTGCCCACCGTTGACGCACCAAGTTGATCCTTGGAAATCCTGTTTTCGTGGTATAGGATTCTCTTGGCTTTTGGTGAGAGTGTTGCGTTTTGCCATAAGATAAGGCAAAGTAAGTGATTGGTTTGAGTGGATGTTTGCTGCAGCAGCAGACTGCGTTCCTGCCTAAGGCGGGCTTACAATGACTACCTTAGGTAGGTACAGCTCTACCTGTAATAACTCTTTTCTCCCAGTGTCATAAATCACATGCATTCAGGCGTTATTAACCCGTCAATAACTGACCTAAAGATTTGGGTGATTTCTCTACCTACCTACCTTATTAGGTAGTTTGTGCTGTAACTTTGCGAGTGTGATAGATTTACAACGAATCTATGAGACAGGAGGGGTTATTGAGATTATCTGGACAACTATAATAAATCATGCCGGGTGGACTTTATGTTATGACTAAAGCCTTTATTTGTGTTTACAATGAATATCTCTCGCATGTCGGGGATTTTGTAAAAGCAACATCCTATCACCAGCTGAGTTCTTTCAAGGCGGCCTATCAAGTTCTTGGCCCATATTACTTTAGTACATACCTAGTAAATGTATGCTTTTCACGTTTGCTGGTTGGACACAGAGGCTGCGAACAATAATTTGATTCTTATCCCTCTGATCCCCTGAAGGTGAGTTAAAAGAAAGACTCATATGGTTTGTTATGAGTGAACAACCCTCAGGCGCTGGGCATCTTTGGGTGTTTGAGACGGAGTGTGACAAAAAAAACAACTCATATCAAAATCTCTGTATCATTTTTCCTATACTAATACAGACTTATAGGTATGAATAATCTTTATATAGATGTTAATTGTTTGCCAAATTCCATAGATACCGATCTTGCTCTGTGTAACAAGGTAATGATCTACCGGCTCTTGTTGGATCAGTCAATACGTGATCTCAATGCGAGATTTCACCATCGATTAAGCCCGATTTATCTCTGCAGTACATACGTCAATGTTCCTGGTTCCTTGAAGTTGAGTCATGGCCGATGACCCGTTTGATGCCCCACGTCCTATCAGATTGGTTTTCTTATTCACAATTTTCGTGATACAAAAAGCATCTTCAGCCGCAGAGTTTCAACGTCTGTTTCCTAACTGCCGGTGATAATTCCTGCATTTGAAAAGCAACAACCCTTGATCGCATTCGCAATAAATCGTTTCATAATGAGTAACTCGTCTCTCGCAGATCAGGATCCTGAAACATTGGGCCCTTCACTGCAAAACAACAGTGAAATTAATACCCTAGAGCCTCGAGAGGATCAACCGCTACTTCAACCTCCCGATGAAGACAGTTGGAAGCCTCCTCGTGGGTTCGTCTGGATTCAGTTGGCAATTATGTCCAATGTCTTCCTCTACGGCCTCGATAGTACCATCACCGCTGCGACTTATGCCGTCATCAGCTCTGAGTTCGATGCCGCAAACACAGCCTCATGGTTGACTACGTCGTATCTTGTCACTAGCACAGCGTTCCAACCTCTCTATGGCAGAGTATCTGATATCTTTGGACGGCGACTGTGTTTCTTCATTTCGACCATTACGTTTGCCTTTGGATGTCTTGGGTGTGGTGTTGCGAACAACATCATCTTTCTCAATGTCATGAGAGCATTGACTGGCTTTGGCGGTGGGGGCTTAATGACAATGGGTAAGTGTAACTCCAATCTCTCTCATTCACTTCCATTAATATGTGAAAGCCACTATCGTCAATTCGGACATGATTCCTTTTAGGAAGCGCGGCATGTACCAAGCTCTCCAGAACGGCATCTATGGCTTTGGGGCTATTTCTGGAGCTTCCTTTGGTGGCTCGATTGCCGACCACATTGGCTGGAGATGGTGTTTTCTCTTTCAGGTGCCCGTGTCAATCATTGCTCTGATCATTGGAGCTCTAGTCGTCTCTGATCAGTCTGGAGGTTTCTCGGTCGATGGCAATCTGGGTGCTGTCTGGCACAGAGTCGACTTCTCTGGGTCACTTCTACTCGTCGTAGCTATCTCGGTTCAGCTTGTGGGACTCAGCCTGGGCGGAAACGAGCTTCCCTGGGATAGTCCTTGGGTGATTGGATCCTTAATTGGGAGCATTTTCTTGTTTGGTCTTTTCCTCTTTGTTGAGGAAAAGACGAGTGCCATCCCAGTTATCCCCCTCCGCTTGCTGCAAGGAAGGCTACCTATTGCAACGCAGTGTGCAAACGTATGCGCAGGTATGGCTGCATATGGAGTAAGCTTCCGCGAGTTACCCAGGTTTACTGATTTGAACTAACTGTCCACGAGTACCTTTTCATGCTTCCGCTTTTCTTTCAGGTTGTTCTGCTTGACTCGGCCACCACAGCCGGTGCTCGACTTGCAATTCCTTCACTGGCCACTCCAATTGGTGGCCTTATTGCTGGGGTGGTCATGTCTCGATGGGGCAAACTGCTTGCTCTTGTGCGAACTGGAGCTCTGTTGATGGTGCTAGGCAACGGCTTGGTGACCTTACTCCAGTTTCAAGATTCAAAGTGGAAGTACTTTGTCTATGTCTTTCCGGCAAACCTTGGTCAAGGCATTATTTATCCCGGTATACTGTTTACTTCACTCGCTTCGTTTGGCCACGCCGGTAAGCACATGAGTCTATCGATTAATATTGCCAGCTGACAAGTTTACAGATCACGCTGTCACGGCCTCGACAGTATACCTCATCCGCTCACTGGGAACCGTCTGGGGAGTTTCAGTCACATCTGCCATCGTTCAGACTACACTCAGCGTTCGTCTGCCTGATGCATTGAGTGAGGTAGCAGATAAATGGAGAGTATGCCCTTTTTCTTGTCACCAATTTCTGTCGTGAAGCCCTTGATCAGATGCTAATCGTGCTTTCCCACATAGATTATTGAACAAATCAGACACTCTGTTGACTATATCCGTCAATTGCCTCCCGACGTGCAACTTAAGGCACGTCTGGTTTACTATGATGGGTTGAGATATGCTTTTGGCGCCTCGACTGCCGTAGCCCTTCTAGGACTCGGCGCTGCCTTGATTGCCAGCGGAACTGGCCTTCGAACAACTCACAAGTAGTCGGAGGTGGCCGAGACTTCTGGGTTCATTAAACGCTAAAGGAGTCTCAGTCTCCTGCGTGCAATCGAGTTTCTCCGAGCATGCATTCACTTCATGACTGTTACTCGGGGTCATTGGCAAAGTTCCAGGGCTTCTTAGATAGAACCAATTCGATTATTGTAGTGCATCGCCTGTAAATAGAGGGACTCAACCTCGACGACATCATGTGCCTGCTGATCAGCGTAAAGCAGGTAATCAAAAAGAACACATTCCTCTTCATTGGACAGACAGAGAACAAGAAGTGTGGTTCCGCCCGGGATCGAACCGGGGACCTTCTCGGTGTTAACGAGATGCCATAACCAACTAGACCACGGAACCTAGGCGGTTGAATTGCTAAACCATTACCGGAGTTTGAAATATATAGTAACTGCTCATAGCCACTGAGCTGATAGCTCCTCTAGCAAGAGGCATTAAGGGTCAACATGAATGAGATAACGAAGGCTTTAGGCCTGAATCACCTCAGGTGAGTACCTAGCGCCCGTAGAGGCTGGGTGCAGTAGGTAGCTTGAAAGGAAATGTATCTTCGGAAGACCGCTCTATAGATATTGGATGTTAATCAAGTGACACCAACTACCTTGACCACGAACAACTTCGAGGTTGTCGTACCGGTTTTCCATTTCTTTACAATAATCAATGATCTCATGTTTGAGTCCGCAGAGATATTTGCAATGATAACTGATCGCTCTACTAAAGTGCCTTAGCTGAAGCTGAGATACTGACATCGGAGCATTGCAGGTGTAGCTAAGGTAGTCAGAGGATGATGGGAACTGTCATTTCTGCCAATAACTCAATGTAACAATAATAACCCAATAGAGGCAACAATAAAGAAGAGATTCGTTCATACTAGATGTGCTGTGAGTTCCCAGTTGCTGCTGCCTGAGGTGCCAGGTGCTTGACAGTGGCTGCCAGGCATTGAAACTGCCTCCGCGATAGGCCCCTCTTGATTAATATTACACGCGACTAAACTCGTCCCTTCTCTCCTCCTTCCAATTTTATTCTCCTTGTCCTGCATCATCACCTCCTAAGCTTTCAGCTTTTCCTACTAACTACAGCATCGCAACCAACTTCAAGCCAGTTCATCAGTATAAGGGGCAGTTAGAGCGAGATTTCCTCGTTAAACAACTTACTTTTGCCCTTCTTAGTCCAAGTTTCCGGGTTTCTTTCAGAGATTCGAAGGCGCATCCAAGGGTAGCATGTTCTATAGCCACGAGAGTAAGTCACCTCATGATATATCATCAACTGGGGCGCAACTAACATCGCTTAAGTCCTCAGCAATACCCAGTATGGGGTTGCCACCATTTGGTATATATCAGTGCCTTCTCCTCGTCTTATTCTACTCACTGACTTTACAATATAGGCTCGTCGCTACCGTGGGCAAGTCTAATCAGAAGCGGTTGACTCGCAAGGCAATTCAACAAGTCAACGTTCCCAAGGCATGCGAGACCATCATCGACCCAGGAGCCCCGTTGGCTCTCCGTCTCCAGGGAAACCTCCTTTATGGAGTCTCTCGGGTCTACGCCCAGCAGTGCCGTTATATGCTCTCAGACGCTGAAAAGACACAATCTGACATGATGACCTTCTTTCGGGTTATGGACACAAGTGCAACGGACCCAAACGCTGGTAAATCAAAGTAAGGGGCCCCTTGTTACCTCATGAAGGTCCATGTACTGATATATTCTTTCAAGGCGACATCAAATCACCTTGCAGGATGACCCGTCCTTTGATCCTTTGTCGACTATCCCAAAGCTCGACCTTTTGGCTAGCGTCAATGATTTGGTTCTTCTATCGACAAAGTTTTCGTCGCAGGGCAGTGTCTCTCAAATGACTCCTAAGACTCAAGGTTCTAGCTCTTCAGGTCGAGGCAATTCACTACTCAACTTCGACATTCCTCAGTCTTCGCATTCTGGCCGAAGTTACCGCCTCCCAACGGATCTTGACCACGATTCTCCTTTTGCAAAACCTTTTCGTGCGCATGACGCTGTGGAGGACTTCAATCCGTTCGGCGTAGATATTGCAAATATGCCTGGTCTTGACCTCAACTTTGACCTAGACGGCAACCTCATTGAGTTCGGCGACATGGAACCACAACTCCCTCCCCTTCCTGGAACGGCGGCATTTGAAGAGCAACTTCAGGTTCAAGCTGCCAACGCGGCTGGCCCCGGCGTCGAAAATGGACCCCTTGGAGGAGACAATGTGATCATCATGGGAGAAGATGCCTTACCTGACGCTGAGCCTTTCCCCAAGCGTCCTGTTGCCAGAAAAGCCACTTCCTCGGCCGAGCCCAGCTCTGAATCAGTTTCGACTGAGGAAGCCAAAGCACCACTGCGACGACGAAGGCGACGCCGAATTCGCCAAATGGTCGACGGAAAGGACCATATTGCTGCAACAGAGATGCGAAGCTGGTCTATGAACTATCTTGACAACATGAAGGCCAACTACAAACCCCGTTCTGCTGCCACTGTCGCTCAAGCACGCCACAACGCGAAGGCTTTTCTTTTTGAAAATGGGCTTGCGGGTATTGGTAGAGCTTGTTCAGGGGCGGCACACCCCCTCGCAGAACACTTCTCTGGTATGGCTCTCTTGGCGCAGTTGCAGGGAAAGAATCCTGAGCAAGAACCAGAGCCTGTGACGCGGGGCCACCGCCGTACTTCTGCTGAAGCTTTTGAAGACGAGCACAATGAAGCACGGAATGTCCGTCAGAAGGTAGACCATGCCGACGAGCTCGGTCGTGGTGTTGATTATGAAATGGGTGCTATAATGTTTGGTGAAGACGTTGCCCCTGAGATTGGAATGGATGCAGCAAAGGGTCTCGAAGACCGACATTCCTCATCCATGGCTCCTTGGAGTCGTCCTCCCTCTACTCTACCTGGTTCGTCTATTCGTGGACAGGGTAGCGCACAGAAAAGATTCCCTGCTCCAAGTCCTCTGCATGCCCGTGGTAATGCAATTCGCCCGATTGAGCGTTGGAGTGATCAGCTTAGGCCGCAACATGGCTCTGATGACTGGGCGATGCTCCGTTCTCAAGATTCTTCCATTGGCGATGAAGGATTATTGGGTGATGTCGAATTCGGCAATGGTGACGAAACACAGGGCTCTGGTGCAGTCATTGATGCCTCTGCTCTTGACTTCTTAGGCTATGCCACTTCTCGTGTAGAGTCCAAAGGGTATACTCGTTCCTGCGACCAAGCTGACCGTCGCTGGATTGATTTCAACACTCTTACCGACGAGCTCGATGACCCTGCCAACTCCAAAAGGTTCGCGTCGGAAGCTTTCATGCATGTTCTCGTTCTTGCAACTAAGAACGCCATTGCTATCGAGCAAGATGGGATTGCCGACAAAAAGCCCTTCGGCACCATCCGCATTGGCCTCACGCTTCCTCAGCAAGAGGTCGAAATGGCCGACGAGCTGGCCTAGACTTGTTTTTGGACCAAGGGTTCAATTGGTACACTATCATTCATGTCAGTGTTATAGACGCATGGCGATGAAGCCTACGACAGGAACGACTTTTATTGGTAATGACTTTACGATTTCACGCGGCGTTGCCCATTTCATTTGCAGGGGAAATCAGTCACCAAATTCTTGGAGTTCGGGAAACACTTGACATGAAATCAAAATGGGATCACAGGTATTGACAGCATATGTGGGATATGGTCAACGGTATATATCTTGATTTGGGGATGGGAAACGAGGCAGTAACGGGGATTTTCTGGTTCGTAAGCAAGATATTCATTCAGTGGGCAAGCACTTGATACATCATCATATTTAGCGAAACAAAAATTGCAATACTTCGCACATGATCATTATTATTATTATTGATATTATCTAGTCGAAGGGGTCATCATCCACCCCGCCCTCTCGATCTTCAAACTGCATGTAATCAGCAGGTGTGCCCTCTGACTCAGCAGTAATCAATTTCCAAGCGTCATGAACAGAGTCAAGGATGGAATCATCGAATGCTAGACCCAGCGACGGGGGGGGAAATGTAGCAATGTCTCTATCGACGCTCAAAGAGTTTGATCCACTACTTTGTTCGTAGTAAACCTGGTAGATGGGCGAAGACACATCTTGGCTTTTGGAAACAGCGGCAATCAGAGACGAAAGAGTTTTGTTGAGGACTGATTTCGCTGATGTGGTATAGACAGTGCTGAGATATATAACATCTGTTGACCTTTCGTTAGCATGATTGTCTTTTAATCATGTGTCGAGTACAATAATAAAAAGTGTGAGGTGTATATCAGGTTGTCAGAGATAATGATCGTCATTAGGATTCAGACAATGTAGATAAGTATTCGGTATGTGAATCATCATAACACCAAGGAGAATAAAAGAAAGAATAAGGCGCAACTCACATTGTCCAGAAGGGCACTCCCCAGTGTCGCTTGAGTGTACCATAGCATAGACTGGAAACTCGTGCAGACCTTCGTCCTCAACAGTGACAGTGCTCGAAGGAAATGCCACCACTGCGACAGCGGGTGTGGGAGCGCCGTCAGTAAGCAGTTCAAAGACTGGAGACAAGTTTGACTTTGTGACCGCAGTGAGCCTGCTGATTCGAATCCTGCGAGAGTCAGCTGCATCGGCGCCTTGGACCACCAATTTGGCCTTTACGTCGATATCATTCGTGAATGAGAGCTCCAGCGGAGCATTGGGTTGGTCCGATCGTTTCAGATCCTTTATGCCAGATCCCAGCATATATATTGCACCACCGACCGCAGCAGCACGGCAGCCCACTTGAGCCACCTCTGACAATCCACCCCATTTGGGATAGACTGCAGCAAAGCCAGGACCGAAAACACCCATCGATGTCATGTGTCGGTTGATGGCGGTTAAGCCATCTTTGACCGATATTTTCCCATCATGACTCAGCGTCAGTGTGATGATGTAAGATTGAAGTGCAGCATCGAGCTTGAACTCTGAGGCCAGGAACTGGGCCAGCTCCTCATCAGCACGCGCCTGCCATGTATCGCTAAGAGGTTCCGAATCAAAGTCAAGTACAAACTTGAGGAACTTCATCAGGGACCGCTTGGACCGAGCTGGAATGGACTTGTTGGAGAAGACATCTTCGCGGGTCGAGGGTATCCGACTGAGCGACGGTGTCGACGACGAATCTGAAGGTGGCTGGAAGATGTAGAAGGAACCGACAGCGAGAAATTCGATCTGGCGAAACGCTTTCGAGTCGACGAGCTGAGTCACCAGCTTGGACCGCGAATGTATCAGCTGCGGCGCGAGAGCCAAGCTATAGGATCGTGTAGCACCCAAAGCGTCCACGTCTCGCTTCACTTCCGCAGAACAGAACAACCGCGAAGGCTCTGTTGACCGGTTCTTCTCAGCCCACTCATCTATCTCCTGAAGGCTGAACGCGGCTTCGCTGCCTCCGTAGAAGTCGTTGGGGTCGACGTGTAGAATATTCTTGCCTGAACGCGACAGAGCTCTTCAAGAATGAAGACTGGGTCAGTCCGACCGAGGCAACATCTCAACAATGGAATCCAAAGCTTACAGGGCGAGGAGGGACTGTTGTAGCCCAGTGCCGCTGATCACTACATCCCATAGGGTGTCTGAGAGGGATTCCATGGTGAGGTTGAGACTGGGAGGATGGAAGGAGAGGAAGGGAGAGGAAGTTGATCAGCCTTTTTATGATGCGCGAAGTTTGAAGAAGATTTCAGGTGGGGCAGGGTTGCTAGGTACGTATGTAAGCAGTAAAATCAGTTGGTCCGTGCACTTCAACACCCAGCAATGAAAAAGGATTGGCCGAGATTTTCCTCTCTTTCTCTTCTTCTTTTTTCCTCACCATCCGCTCAGCCCTCTACGCAATGTCTACCTCTTCTGGCGGAACATTGCTCGTGGCGTGGTAGTTTCATTACTACTCACTTTATGAGTGGTAGAGCAATTTGTCTTCCGGTATCTCCTGCCCTAGAATGAAGTCTGAAAGGGTGGGTCGAATGGCCTTGACACATTTCTTGATCCAACTTGGTACATGATTATAATGGTAAAAACCCACGACTGTAGGCAATTGTGAATGGATGCATATTCTTTTCATTGGGGTATCATTAATCTAAGATTGGGTAATGGCCGCGTTGAACTCCTCCCATCTCTTCGTAGCCCAGCCTAAGAATTGCTCTGACGTGAGGAACTGGGGCGTCAAGGCAGTTCCTCCATGCTTGGAGATGGACAAGATCTTAAGATCCCCGTCCTTGCAATCCACCACGACCGTGACACTCTCGTCGCAGAGCGACTCTTCAAGTCTGTCTGGGTCAACAAGTAACCAGAACCTGCCGTCAGTGGGTCGGTCAGTTTCTTTGCCGGTAAAGACAACTGCTGTGCATGCGATTGGAATGTTCGTGATGTGAAGAGGTCGAGCCTGTTTGTGGGAGCAGATGATCATCTCTCGGTCAATGTCGTATCGCGCTCCAGGAAGCTTCGTGTTTCGTAGCGCAGCCATTGTAGCAGCCCATGCGGCGTCAAACGGGTTTCCATCGAATGAGATGAAAAAAATATCAATGTAGAGCACCCAGTAAGCCACAACGGATCGGTTCTCGTTGCTCGTATCCTCTCCGTCCTCCTCCATGCGATCTTCGAGGTCTTCTGATGGTGGTGTGTGCCATATTCGCAGGTCATCAGGCTTGATGATTCTGGAGCTGTGAAGAAGGGAGTATATACGTGTGCTGAGAGTCTGGGCAAGAGTGCTTGGTGGACCGCCTGGGAGAAACTGAGGAGCGCAACCCGTAGCAAGCTCAATGTTGGGCACCAGGAGGTCGTAGTCTTTCAACTCGGTCTCGGTATTGGAGGCACGATAATTCGGGATGTTGGGTGTCAAGATAGTCTCGCCTCGTACACCACAAATGACAGTAGTGTCGCCGACGCGAACAACAGCACTCCCGTGAGCGTGTGACAAGCTCGCTAAGTTGACTGTTGGCTTGCGAGATTCGTTTCGGGCTCGGCCATTGCTTCGAGCTGGGCGGATATCATCAGAGGTGGGATCAAGACTCGCAAGCAGATACGGATGAGGCGACAGCTTAGCGAAAGTCGTCCTTGTGAGTCCCTTAGTAGAGGCCATAGTGGTGAGCTAAACTGGACCCTAGGTCATAAATTAATGTAAGTTTGGATTTCGACCGTGTTTGACTTTTGATATGAGAAATGGATGATGAAAAGTTGGAGCGATGTTCGCAGCCTCGTGGGGTCCTTGGTGGGGTTTAGTTGAGCTCCGACCAGTCAGATAGGCTCTATCAGGTGCAAGGCTGACCGACCTCAAGCTCCAACACAGGGTAAGTCGCAGGGTAAGCTATCCAAATAATATTTGTATTGGGGTATTTCGCGATATCATCAATCACATTTGACAAACTACTGTTTTATTTGGCTCAATTAAGCACTATAATTAATCTAGTTCTTTAGTGATGCACTTGACTGGAGTCAATTATTGCACTTCGTTACCCCAGCTATAATCAAATGGAGATCATCCACTGCCTGGCCATATTGTGCAGTTGATGCAATTGACAACACTTCTTGTGGCTATTGAGATTTCGCTGTCCAACGTCACAACTTCTGTATCGAGAATGCTCTTCGTTGTTCTTGACTAGGGACTTGCCGACCTCTTTTCCCGATACATTGCCCACCGTCAAAAGTTCAATCACCAACAACACCGTCAAGATCGACAGTCACAAGAAGCACAAGTCAACCAACATCACCAACAACATATTCCGTCTCATCCGACACTTACTGTACATCGTGAGGTATCCATGAGGCGTGGCAAAAGGCGACAGCAAAATTTGACAGGGAGCCTGGATCCTTTATCGGTCCCCTCACATTATGGCATTTATCCCGCCACGGTCCGCAGAAACTGTGCATGGGAGGCAACATATCACCAACATGCTTAACGGCCATGATGATGTCGTGCGACTCTCTGTTGGTTCAGGCTTTTTCGATACATCATCGAACGACTAGAGACCCTTTCAACATCAACGCAAACTGTTCCTGGCCCATCATATTACGCTCGGATGATTCTCGACCATTTTGAGATTCTAAATGCCCGATATGAACAAGGGAACCCTCAAATGAGGTTCGAGGCTTTGAAAGAAGGAAGCGGTGCACGAATCCAAGGACGCAAGCGATTAAATCTCCAGAAGGCTAATCACCTCCAAGAGCGAATCAGAACTCGCCTGTTACCGCCCGTTGAAGAAGCCATCGAAAATCTGCAAGGATCGTCACTGCGTCTGTCGGCCAATCATGTTAGCCTATCGCATCTCATCACAGCGTTACACCTTGAAGACTCCACCCTGGTTGCTTCTCCTCTAGACTACCATTCAGCCCCCAAGTCCATCAGCGGCCTCTAAGAGCAATTACCCGTTCTTGGAGGGGGGATAGACCAACGCAGATGGCTCAAGCAAGTGCTTGGATCACGGCTCGAGTGCCAGGAACATCTTGGCCAGATGTGTCGGGACTTTCCAGCACCCAATCCTGAGCCTTATTCAGACGCTCATCTTTCCCGTGGTTGTGGATGGGCCAACAGCCGTTGAGAGCTTAAACATTCGGCAGCTATATTATCACAATGCTAATTTCTCATCCCGTACAGCAAGCGCTAGGTCTCATTTTACTGTGAAGCTGTTACAGCGTTCATCACATCTTCACAGCAATCTTAGGAAAGACGCAATGAAGCTTTTGTCCAAGAAATAACTTTACTTGGTGACAAAGTCTCGAGCAGAGAAACAATAACATGCCCCAGCAGGCCCAGCCATCGTTGATGATGATCCCCGGCCAACATGCAGACCTAGAGCCTACATCCTGGTCCCCTCAACCAGAAAACATCCACATCCCGCCATCGTGTTTCTCTCATTATGGATTGACCTTTCTCTTAATCCTGCATGTCACCCACCTTCATCACTCTGGCTGCGTCTGTTTCTCTCAACCACGCCAGCTCGCGGCTGTGTGACAGCCGAATGATCCACTCATGGGAAGACGGCATTTCATGAGCTGGCCAATATCAGAGCTCCGTCAGCCGCTGGTCCTTGTGTTGACTCGTTTTCTGCACAGACTCTTCCCGCATGTCAATCTTGAATTCCACCTCTTCCTATCCCTGTCTGCCTGCACAGTAGTGACATGCTTGCCGCCGCCGTATCACAAGAGCCACCCACCAGCTGCAATATGTTTGCTGAGCCTTACATCTGCAGCTCTACCATTCTCCGCTCGACGGTGAGGATCCGATCGCCTGAGGCCATATATTCGGCCGCATGCCCATTTAGACTCCACTGTAGCTCCCCGTCTTAAGACCCTGCCTCCCAATACCCTAAGTTCAAGGCGTTCGCATCCTTTCGTTTATCAACTGTGTTATTGCCTTTGTGCCTCTGATCGGAGAGTCTGGAATTCTTCGATTTGAGCCGATTGACTGTTTCACCTGGGCGCAACTCAACAGATCGCCATCCATTGAGACCAGTCAGCCAAGCTGCCGTCTTATGCCCTTGGTCTCATCTTACTTAAATCACACACATAAAGATATACGAAATCGCCGCCGTTGATGTCGAATTAAAAAGCCTGCTCCGCGCTCTGTCGCCAGATACCACCAAAATTTACTGAGCTTTAACGCTGGTCGAAATGGCTCCCAACTCATATATGGACGAGGCTACAAGGACCTTCTCCGGCCTCATCAAGCGTATTTCTATTCCCTTAACACCGACAAGCCCGCCTGGTTTAGTCCAGGCGCATACAATAGACCCATGGGAGAAGTCTGGTAAATACGGCCGAGGATGGTCCTATTTCGCCCTCGCCTTGATGGGCACTGTTCTCATTATGCGTGTCTGGCACTTCTGGCAGGACAAGATTCGACAAGCTATTTACAAACAGGAGGTCGAGGAGCACTACCAAAATCTCTACAATGCTGAGGTAGAGGCCATGTCTGGGATGCGCAGTGCTCAGAGCCAGCATTTCTTCCCGGAAGGTCATGACATGATGGGCGAGAAGAACTTCCGACCGAAAGCACACTTCTCCTCTGTTAATATCATCAACGATACCTTGGCTCTATTTCGATGGATCTTTTATCGTCCTATCCCCGACCTGGTGATTGGAAAACGCCGAATCACCTTCTCCTCATTGGCAGTTCTTACTACTGTCTTCGTTACTCTTGCCTTTGTCGCCCTTTATTGCTTCCTGCAACAGCCTCTATACTGGCAGAGCATTCAGTTCGGATCACCTCCCTTGGCAATTAGAGCCGGCATGATTGCGATTGCCTTGACACCATGGATCATTGCAACCAGCATGAAGGCAAATATCCTTACTGCTATCATTGGCATCGGCCCCGAGCGGCTTAATGTTTTCCACCGATGGGCAGGCTACCTCTGTCTGTTCCTATCCCTCGTCCACGCCATTCCATTTTATATCCAGCCTGTATGGGATGACGGTGGAATGAAGGTGTTTCAACGCTTGTTTCCCGGTGGCAGTGGCATCATTTATGGCACTGGAATCGCATGTCTTGTACCCCTTATCTGGCTATGTGTCGCATCACTGCCCTTCATCAGGAGGACAGCCTACGAGATCTTTGTGGTTCTCCACGTACCCGTTGGAATCGTCTACGTTGGCCTCCTTTTCTGGCACACTAAGAACTTCCTCATGTCGTGGGCCTACCTCTATGCAACAATAGGTATCTGGGCATTCTGTTATTTCATAAGGCTGTTCAAGCTTAACTGGCTCAAGCCTTGGCGTATGTCTTTCATGGTTGGAGATGAGGCCGCTATTACTCTTATGGCAGAGAACGCCATCAAAGTCACAATCCCAACGCAGATGAAATGGAAGCCTGGCCAATACGTTTATCTTCGCATGCCTGGTATCTCCATCTTTGAGAACCATCCTTTCACCATTTCGTCGCTATGCAGCGATGACTTCCCATCAGAGTACGGCGAACAATACCGTGACTGTACTCTGGTATTCAGGCCCTATGGTGGATTCACACGCAAGGTGCTTGATACTGCCATTGAGAAAGGACCATTCCATACCTATCGCGCGTTTCTTGATGGCCCCTATGGCGGTATGCGCCGCGATCTAGCTGCCTTTGACACCTGCATCCTGATTGCCGGCGGCAGCGGCATCACTGCCCTTGTGTCACAGCTCCTTAACCTCATCAAGAGAATGAGGGATGGCAAGGCCATCACGAAGAAGGTTGTTGTCGTCTGGGCTCTGAAGCGACTTGAAGCTATGGATTGGTTCAGAGAAGAGCTGCGAATTTGTCGCGAGGCCGCTCCCCCCGAGAGCGTCACTTGCAAGTTCTTTGTAACATCAGCTGTGAGAGCGAGACCAGGCATGGAAGGACCTGGACCCTTCAGTCAGGTTGGGCCTGGTGGTCCCAATGGACCCCGAGCTTTGAGTCATATGTTCCATGACAAGCTGGACGGTTTTGTTGCGGGCATCGCTTCCAAAAGAAACTCTGCCCTGATCCAATCCGAGGCTCAGGGTGACCCCGAGCGTGAGAGGGAGCTACGGGCCGAGGACGAGGACCGTATCACGGCCCTCCCTCAACAGAAGTACCTGCAACCTCACTCAATCCCTCCTCCTCCTCCGGGACCGCCCCCTACCAACCAAGATGAGGCCCTGAGGAGACTTGAGGGTCACGGTTATCCCGAGGACAAGAAAATTCCTCTTGGTGACAGTGAGGAACCCAGTAAAAACGACCCGGAGTTCCATTTCAGACCCATGAAGCAAGAGAATCCACCCCAGTTTAACTACGCGCCAAGGTCTCCTAGAAGACTTCCAGAGTCGTTCCCTACGGAAGAAGAAGCATTCCCAGTTCGGGCTCCTGAGCTTGCTCACTTGAGGACAGCTAACCCTGAGGCCGGAAGACCACGACCGACATCAACTTTCGGTCCCCCATCCGGCTTTGACTTCGGCTTCCCCCAAACCCCAACCGAGTTTCAAAAGAGTCTGATGCGCTTCGCGTTCCCTGTGCCTCACCAGATCGATGGAGGATGGAGCGTTGAGTATGGCCGTCCTGACCTAGGCTACATGCTGAAGGAATGGGCGACAGGAGGTGCTGATGGACGAGGCATCCTTGGCCGACGCACGGCGGTCTTCGTATGTGGCCCACCCTCTATGAGAGTTGGTGTTGCCAATACGGTTGCCCGACTCCAGGCGGAGATCTGGGGAGATGATGAGCTTGAAGAGATCTTCTTACATACCGAAAACTACGCTTTGTAAGAAGGGAGGGAGCATTGTGTGGATGTGTTTAGAGGTCTGTAATACTATGGGATTTGATGAGTTGATGGAGACGGAGCGAAGAAATACCATGAGCGATCTGACTTTTTTATGAGCTAGTATATATATATACCTATCTAGGTACCTTTGGAGGTGCCTTGGCTGTATGAGTAGGCAATTGAGCCTCAGCTATATAATATCGATACCCTATCTACTATCTACTACCTACTATCTACGATCTTGGAATTTATAGTACATATTTATTAATTGCAATACTACCTTAGTAGTGGAGACCCCGTGATCGGAGTTGGCATGGCATGATGACATGAGGAAGTGGCCAGAAGGGTTCACGAGGTTGCCCCTTCCCCTTATGCAGAGTCATGATGAACCCCATGCTTAATCAAGAGGGACGCACGTTCAAGGGTCGTGATTGGAGAATGGCTTCAACTCGAATCGAGAAGGTGGAATAAGGTATGAGGACCTTTGTGATTGATGATTAAGTCAAGGTAGGTAAGGTATGGCCGTGATGGCGTATGGCGTGGAGGCAGGAAGAGACACCTTGATGGTCCCTGACTTATTATGTGAGAAGAACCTGAAAATAATAGGTAGGTAGGAACTGGATATTTGAGTCAAAGAGGTCCTCACGACTGAGTACCTATCTTCAACTTCTCAACACCCAAAAACATCCTCTCCCATTCGTAATTACTTCCATATTATTTCTCAAGTCTTCAGATACTCAACATTACCACAAGCTCTTGGTAGGCGGAGGATAGTGCAACAACCACAACAGTAACCACTTACACACCATCTCACCATTTGCTATCTTCAACTCCCTCCCCAACTCAAGGTACAAAATCAGTAAAAATGGCGGCGCGGCCAGTTACGGACCTCGATAAAATCGCCAAAGGGTGGCAAATTGCCATGAAATACTCCAAGGAGCGTCTTCAACGGGTACATGACCTCGCAGCCGATGAACTGGATGATGCTATCAATGATGGGCGCTTGGTTCTCGAGACCGTGTGCTTGTTTGTCCACGCTTGCATCAGACACAATCAGTACAAGTAAGCAGTTCCACAGCCTGCAATACACACGAGCAATTGAACTAACTAATTGGATACAGACTTCCTCTTTCGTTTTGGCGAGTCCTCCATGCTGAATACGGTATCATCGTCTATCCCACGGCATTAAAAGACGACATCAATATTCAAGGCATTAACGTGGATGTTACATTTACCGAGGCTTACGACGGACACATCAGTATGTATAAGTTCAGTCTCTGGCCGTCCGCTCCTTAGTACTTACACAAGCGATAGTGATGTATGGTGGAGCGCACGGAATCAAATACCCTCCCCGGTGTCCCATTGAGCTCATACGAGAACCTCCGCCTGCCTACGAGAAGGAACCACCAAAGATAGAGTCTTGATATCTCTCAAGTCAAAAATATGTTTTCTGTGTATTATTGAAATCAGGTTTGGCGATAGTGGGACGCCCGGAGCATGGTAGCGTTGGTGGTTTAGAGGCAAGGCGATCCGTCATGCCGGCCAGACAGAATAGTAGCGTCTAGATATTGACAATGTTAACAAAAGAAGATGAATTGCCTAAATATCCCTTTTATTTCCAATCTGCGTGAAATGGCATCAACTTTCTTCACGCTGTCCGATAGCTCCGTCTCGGTTTGCTCTCCATATCCCCTCCTCACCTTCAAACTCCTCACGTTTCCAAACCTCAACTTTGGATTTACATTCTTCCAACGCCTCTTCACCAGCTCGCCACGCCGCTTGTCGATGAGGTGAAGAGACGGCGATTAGTATGCTCTCTTCTGCGATAGGTACAGGTCCGAGGCGATGGATCATGGCTACCCCGCGGAGACCATGCTTATCGCGAACGTCCTTTGCAATGGCCATCATGGACTTGAGAGCTCTGGGGTGATAAGCTGTGTATTGTAGCTCCTTCACTGGCTTTCCTGCAAAGTTATCACGAGTGGTACCTGGGCTGGGTCAGTTTCGCTGTGAACAAAGACCTGGGAGAGATAATAACTTGTTACCTGCAAATAGCACGATTGCGCCAGCTGAGGGGCTGCGCACTTGGTCCATGATGGCCTGGGCATTGAGATGATCGTGAGTCAGAGCGACATAGCAATCTTGTTCTGATAGTTCCCAGAGATCTTGAGCCTTTTTTTGAGTTGCCATTTTCTATTAAACAAGTGTTGGAGGAGAGATGAGATGAGATAAGAATGAGTTTATATTTCGGAGTTGTTATATCAAGAGTGGGCTTGGTTTGTATACCTAAGTATCAGATCCATGTCAAGTCCTCCTGTTTGAGACTATCATGGTCGGGGAAGGCCCAATAGAAATTACTAGATACCTATAGTAGAGATTGGATAGTTTGATCTATCTGATTTCTGTACTGAATCACTTGATTGCCTGCCCAAGTTATTCGCTGGTGATGGCACTCACATCGCGATGACTAAGCCCCACTTTGACATCTTATTCCTCCCTGCCGCCTTGACTTTTTGACTTTCGTTTATACAATTTTCATCATACCCTACCTACTTAAACCCTTCTTTTCCCCATCTTTTACATTCAACCGCTTCTAAACCAGAAATCGCCTCGAGTTGAAAAACGACACCGCGTTAGCCAAAGCTGCTGTGCGTGACGACCACCAAATGCGATCCTTCGATCGCTCAAGAGACGACTAGCAAACCAAGATGAACATGAGCGACGAATTTCAAGACCGAGATGCCGGCTATCGATCGCGGCAGGGTAAACACATAACCCGAGCCTCAGGCAGAGATGGGAAACTCGAGAAGGACCTTCTTGGATGATTTGAGCCTCATAGCTAACTTCCCTGCGGGACGGCGAGATCATTCCAGGTCTCCGCCCAAGCAAGCTTTCCGCGACGATCCTCAAGAGAGAAGTTCTCGATACCGGGATGACGAAAGGGACCACGACTACGATTACGACAACCGGTCTGGCCGTCACGATGATGGTTACTCAAGAAGAGGCGGCGCATCTCGAGAAGCGCGCTACAACTCTCGCGATGAACAGGACTACCGAGGCATGTATGATGATGGCTACACAGACAACAGCAACGATCAAGGGCAACGACGTCATGAGGACGACAAGCGGAGTGGCAGAGGACGGTACCGCGACGGCGATGATCCACGATCACAGTCTCCGTCTGGAAGCTATCATAACCGCGGTCGCTCCGACAGCCCAACGCGAGATGCTGGCAAGCCTAGCGACACCGTCATTCTTGAAGGTCTGCCTTTCAGTATATCGTCGAACGAGGTTGGTACCCTATCGGTCTAAACAAATTGTTACAAGAGCCAAATGCAGGCTTCTGGGCCTGGTGGATTCGAGCCTCGCTGCTTTGGAGGACGGACAAAAGACTGCTGTTGTCCTCAATTAGCCGGCACCAGCGACGCAACATATTCCTTGAAACCAGTTGATGCCAGTTCTCAAGACTAATTCCCCCGCCTATAGCTGCGCGACAGTATCCTGAGCAACTCAGTTGCCGCCGAGTTCCCTTCCATTGACGTGCGCGTTTCCGCTTCCAAGGGTCAGTGAGATGTATTTGGTATTTCAGGTTCTTGTTGCTGACACGTGCAAACAGGAAATCGCAGAGCGTTTGTACAGTTCCAGGAAGTTGACCATGCTGTTGCTTTTATGAGAGAACATTATCCGAAGCTTCTTGTTGAGATGACGCATTCCACTGATGACGTCCCAGAAGGGAGATTTGATGCGTACATCCATTACGCTCGGAATCGAGATGCGCGTGATGAAGCCGATGTTCGGGGAGTGCCCAGTGGTGATTGGATCTGTCCTACTGTAGGTTTGCTCCCACAGCTTCAGCTACACAACCACTAACGAGATAGTGTGACTTTTCCAACTTTTCTACCCGAACCAAATGCAAGATTTGTGGCGGTCCACAGGCTGGTAAGTTGAGCGAACATTTTATTAATGATGGAAGCTAATGTTGAAGTTCTAGCCCCAGCCTGGCAATTGAGCCTCACAGGCATGGCAGATGCTTCGGATGTACCCGCACAAATCCTTGTTGTTTACCCCTTGGCGTCGTTTGTGACTGAAGACATGCTAGCCGAAGACATGAAGCGACTAGAGCTTGTGAAGCCCTACCAAACCAAGGACACGTCTAATGGAGCACCCAAACTGAAGTCCACAGCACCGACAGGTGACACGACAGGTTACGGCGCTCGACCTGGTTCCCTTCATCGGGTCTTCCTTATGCGTGACGCGCACACGAACGAATCCTTTAAATATGGGTTTGCCGAGTTTTGGACATTGGAAGACGCATCCGCCGCGATGACAAAGTTTCACAAATCTCGATCATTTACTGTTGCAGCATGCCCAGTGACAGTGGCTAGCACTCATATGGGAGTTTTCTTGCCTGAACAGCGCGAGGTTACACCGGAAATCGAGCATCTGTCGTTCAGACCCTTGCTCAACCCCAACCTTCGTGTTCGCTACCGAGACTACCATGTGTACCCGAGCCCACAGGTTGTTAATGAGCAGCCTCCTGGAGGCGAAGGTGCCTCAAAAGCAACCGAGGAAGATGGCAACGATAAGAAGTCAAAGAAGCGCAAAGCCGAGGGAAGTCTCACTGCTTCTTCTACGAAGAAGTCTGTGCCAATGATGGCGGGCCAAATGGCCATGTGGCAGCGCAAGAGGGATGAGCTTCGCGTCGAGAAAGATGCTAGACCAGCACGACAGGACAAGGCTGAGTTCAGCGATGTGAATCGGACCCCACTTCGCATAAACCTCTCAGGTTCAGGAGGAGACTCATCGAGACCCCAGAGTGCTATTAAGATCTCACTTTCAGGAACACAGAAAATTGGTCCTCCAGAGCATGCGGCTTCCAGCAAGCAGGGCTCACCAGAGGAGGCGGATACTCCCGGCAGCACGACACAGGCGACTTCAGTCTCTGGAGATGCGCCAGTCTCTTATGTCGATCGTGATCGATTGATGTGCCTGATTTGCATGCGGAAGTACAAATCTGTGGATGAAGTTAACATTCATGAAAAATCTCGGAACCACAAGAACGCAATGGGAAACGAAGAGCAGGTCAAGGCGGCATTGCCCAGATTAGCAGCACGCGACAAGAGACTTCAGAAGCAGGTCCAAGAGAACCCCGACTCAGCAGCTGCGACATCGCAATATCGCGATCGTGCTAAAGAGAGGCGAGCTGCCTTCAACCAGCCCACAAAGCCAACAGCCGCACCACAAGGCAAACTCAAGTCGGGCCCAAAGGCGGAAGAGGCTGCGCCCCCTCCGAAGCCCGTTCAGTCTAAGGGAGCAGGCATGCTGGCCAAGATGGGATGGTCAACCGGTGCAGGTCTCGGAGCCAATGGAGATGGGCGAACCGAGGTCATCGAGACAAATGCTTACCAGGAGGGCGTTGGATTGGGGGCAGAGGGTGGCAATCTTGGCGACGCAGCGCAATTGGCTGAGCGTAAGACAAAGAACAGTTACGCTGAATATGTGAACACGGTGCAGGACAGGGCACGGGAGCGATACAACAAGATGGGCTGAGATGTTGATACAAAGGCAATGTAATTGTAGGTTGGGATATACATAGATAGGAAAAGGCGTTCAGAATTTGCTGAGGAACCGAGGACGAAACTCGACATGCCAACGACAGGCGCACATCTTTGATTAATGGGTATCTTTTTTAAATACAGCACTTGAAGAAACCAGTGTCTTAGATTCTATGTACATGCGCGAACTCACTTGCAACGTCTGACGCTGGCTTTCAACTTCCATTGCCAGTCTATTCTCATGCTTACAAGAGAGTCAATGTAATGCCTGCAGCCACGATGAGTGTCACCAGGGAAGCAGGAGACAAATGACCGGCGGCATTGTCGTCCTCTTGAGAACTGGAGGTGCCTATAAACGTGTTAGTTGAGTGTATAAGCATGAAACGGACAAGATAGACGACTCACCCTCAACACCAGTAACATCCGGGAATTTGGTGTCCTTCTCCTTGAGTTCAACAATGTTTGACTCGTCAGTATTGTGGTTCGCCTCAGCGATGCCCAGCTGTTCATTTGCCAGGTCATATACAACATAGGCAGAGCGCAGGAACGTGTCTCCAAGGAGAGTAACGCCCCCAGTGAGACCATACTGACTAACAGGGCTGATTCCAAACATACAGACGCTGTCCCAATCATCGAAGTAGGAAGAGACTTGAGGGTCGTCAAAGATTTCCTGCTTGTCAGGGAAGGCATTGATAACCATCTCGCTCATGGGAACAGAGATTGTCTTGCCGTCAAACTTGAAATCGAAGCTAACACCCTTGCCCTTGTCTTTGCCGTAGGCGCAGTCTACAAAGGGGATAGCGACATCCTCCACACTCAGGACGTTGAAGGCCTTGTAGATAGGTCCTACTTGGGCCTCTGGCAAGAGGCAGACGGTAGCACCAGAGTCGAGAATGGCGGTGGTGTCTTTCTTGAGACTGTCTACCTTGATCTCCTGGCCCTTTGGTGTCTTGACCTCGAAGCCTTGAAAGGCGACGGTGAAGTGAGTGAGGTTGAGAGTAGAAGGGTCAGGCAACAGGGACAGAGTTGCAAGCTTGCCGACGAACTTTTTAGTGTCAAGACCGCCGAAGAGGATAGTTCCTTGCTCAGCACTGAGGTCGTTCTACGGGAGTTTATTAGCCAGGGGTCAATTATTGTTGGTCCTTGGTGACTTACCAGCCAGAGACTGAAGGCAGCTCGGTCGATCAGGCCCTGAGACACCATATTCTCGACAATGGTTGGGTACGTCCCATTAGCGACGACATTTGCAGAGAAGCCCAAGCCCATCAGGCCCGTTGGACGAACAGATTTCGTCGCGAGGCCTAGTCTCTGCTGCTTGATGCTCTTTCCATCAATGGTGACGGTGTCGTTGAAGTAATCACCACTAATAGAGCGGGTATCAAGATAGGTGATGTCGAATCCATCAGGGTCGACCAGTTTATAGGTACGACTGTCGCCAGGTTTAACTAGAGAGAATAAGAGTCTTGTTGGGTGAGATAGGTGAGATGGGAGAGTAACTTACATGTAGTCATACAAGGGCCAATAGCCTCTTGCTTGGTTCTACTATTGCAGAGATCGGTCTCATCTGAGTTGAGCCAAGTATCACTGCTGCCTGTGTCAAGCTGAAAGCTGATGTTTTGACCCGGGGTACCGACT